CTGATCTGACCACGCCTTCCCTAGCCGCCCATATAGGTTTTCTCTTATTGATACTTGTACGGTAATAAATATTGCTAGCACTCGTTAAATTCAACAAATGTTTTTAATTCATTTTTTTAACACTTAACCTTAATATTAATAAGTAAAAAATAACAATGCATTCAAAATGACTATAAATGGGTATTTTACATTTAACAAGAAAGGAAAGCTAACTTCGGGCGGAGCCGAAGTTGATATACCCTTGCAGAATACTCTGTAAATTATATTCCCCAAATTTATTCATATGATGCATTCTTAATACTCATAAAAATCCCAACTTCCTAACTTTAAAAACACCAAAGTTATGGCATTTCCAATCGTTCAGTTATATAGCAGCTATAGGATATAGTCGGCCGATCCTTATGAAGTTCGGTAGGTCGGATTGATTGGCCAAAAATAAAACCCATAGAAAATCCCAACTTCCTAACTTTACAAACACCAAAGTTATGGCATTTCCGATTAATCATTTATATGGCAGCTATAGGATATAGTCGGCCGATCCTTTTAAAATTTGGTACGTCAAATTGATTGGCCAAATGTAAAACCCATAGAAAATCCCAACTTCCTAACTTTACAAACACCAAAGTTGTGGCATTTCCGATCGTTCAGTTATATGGCAGCTATAGGATATAGTCGGCCGATCCTTATAAAATTTGGTACGTCAAATTGATTGGCCAAATGTAAAACCCATAGAAAATCCCAACTTTCTAACTTTAAAAACACCAAAGTTATGGCATTTCCGATCGTTCAGTTATATGGCAGCTATCGGATATAGTCGGCCGATCCCGGCCGTTCCGACTTATATACTGCGTGCAAAGGAAAGAAGGGTGTGTGCAAAGTTTCAATTCGATATCTTTAAAACTGAGAGACTAGTTCGCGTAGAAACAGACAGACGGACAGACAGACGGACAGACGGACAGACGGACAGACGGACAGACGGACAGACGGACAGACGGACAGACGGACAGACGGACATGGCTATATCAACTCAGGAGGTGATCCTGATCAAGAATATATATACTTTATAGGGTCGGAGATGTCTCCTTCACTGCGTTGCACACTTTTGACCAAAATTATAATACCCTCTGCAAGGGTATAAAAATGTTCCTAACAGTCGTATTCTACATCAATTTCTATTGAAAACGGATTTTCAAAGTCAGAATTTGAATCACTATCATTATTGCTAGCATTAAAATCGGGAACATTGTTATTATTGTTCATGTTACAAGAATATAGCAAGGTGATTCCAAAAGTTCGATTACGTCTGCTGGTAGGGGTAGTTTATTTTGGTGACCCAATCTTTTTGTTAAATATATGCTTGACACAAGAGGATCTGAGGAATCCATTGCTCTGTGGAAAACGTCTGCCATGTTGTTCTGCCGTGTACTCTATCGAGCATGTAACCTCCTGTCACTCGTATAGTATTTGTAGCGAGCCTCTGAGGCGTTTTCGCCGAGAACACCTAATGGAAGGATTGATGCTTCTACTATTGGTATCCGTGCATTAACACTTTATGACACTTTATGATTTATGCTGACATTGGAAACCATGGATACAAGGACATATATAGTTTTATGGTTTTCTGACAATATTTTTAAAATTTTGTTGGATCAATTGGTAGGTGGCAAGAAATTGAAATTAAAATATTGTCAAAATATGCAATGAGAAATTCATCAAGACCTAAGAATTTAGCTAGTAGCTTAGGTTGTGCAATCGCCCTCCTTGCTGCAATGCGGCTACAATATGTGGGATTTATACATATCGGTGCAAAATGGAGCAAAAAAGCTTAATAAAATTAGTTTATATACACTTTGCACTTTAATGACAGATAGTTACTTTTTGGCACAAGTTGGCACAAAATTTGTTATAATCCACAACAGACGGGTTTGCAGGTTAGCTTTTTTCTACTCTTGGACAACACAAATAAACGCACACAAAGAACACATTATCAAACATGAACAAAGTCTTTTTTAATACAAATATTCTACATACCTTTGTCTTTCGTTTCCATAATTTTAGTGAAAATTGCTTAAACCACAACAATGTTGGCACGCTCGCAAGTAAACAAAATCTTTCCCGCGCTTTTTAGTTTTGCACGCATGCAATCAGACAACTGACTTTGAAGGGCTGCCAAAATTTCAGGGATGCATTAAAACAATTAAAATATTTTGATTCATTTTAGTCAAAGTATATACTATTCAAATTTTATTATTAAAATATGTTTACTTGCTATGAAAAATTGGAATTTTCGTCGAAAAATCGGCTCGCTGGCCCAATGTGCAGCGTAGTCGAAGTGTCAATATTTTCTCTCGGGAAAGGGTTTTTAATGATGTGGCTGGCTTTATGGGCCATCAAATGGCTCTGTCAACACTTTGCCCTGTGTTTTGCAATGCCTTCGATAATGTTTCGATGTCCATTAAATCAATCATTATTTGTCTTACTTCATGCACATATCCAAAGACGGCTGGATAATAACAATAAAAACCAAACAAATTTATCGGCTTGTTTAGAAATTATAAAACGGAAAACTTTTATTTATTGCGAAATAGATGATCTTATAAATTTCTTTGATTTTTTTTTTGTACTGACAATTTATTGTTATAGTTAAGTTTCGCAAATTATATAGAACGTTAAAAACCTGAATGCATTACGATTCACATCATTTATAAAACAAAAAAAAACCATAAATTTAAACTAACTAACTAAATCATAAATCAAGTCCTGTCGACTTGCAATTTAGTATGTATAATGTTATTATAAGTTGGTTGCATAATTATTATGCATATTGCCAATAATTAAATTCACATTGGGACCAGATACTTGGCTTACAAAAAAAAGGATCTTAAAAATGAATTGCACCGCTGCTTGTCTCTGAATTCGGAAAGGGATGAAAAAAAAACAACTCAGAGAATTGGGAATATTTAAAATTCAAAGGAAACATGAAAACTTTTTTTTATGGCCGCAATTATAATTCGATAAAGCCGCAATCTTCTGGAACGCACGCAATGGTGGAGGGAGAGGGAAGGCCAATTGGCATGACACTCGGAGGCAGCCAAAAACTTTAACCTGGCCAAATGATACTTTCGATGGGAGTTGCGTGCACCGGCTGTGTGTGTTGCGATTGTGTTGGCCAAGTTGGCCGGATTGTGGATTGCGGATTGCGTTGGGGATGCTGCGGGTATCTGAATACAAAAACTGCCGCCAAGTTCATAACGAGCAATACTTTTTTATTGGCTTTTGCCAGCGCCAAGAACCCCTAAGGCAACTAAAAAATTTACATTTTTATTAAAATCTCCTCTTTTGGCAGCCAAACTACACATGCAAAGCCTGGCGCACATGTGTGCGGCACCATGGGCTGAATGAAATTGAATTCGACTGTGATTTTGGCCAAAATGGCATGGCATTGTAGGGCGGGGACACCTATAGGCCCGACCAAGATATCGAGTGAAGGCATAAATTGGTATTTATTGAACAAAAACAGAGCCCCGAGGATACTTAATTAGGAGTGTACATTGTGCTTTCAGGCAGGGGTGAAATGCTGGCAGGTAAGCCGCTTACAATCTAATGGCTTACCTATGTTCCCTTTCATCAATCATTTGTGAATATGGCTATTTAGACATATGTACACAAACAAAATCGATGGAGTGTTAACTGCTTAAATATTATTATTTTTAAAGTTTTTTATGTTAATTAAAAGTTAGAAAGAGAACTTTTGTTTTCACTTATTTTTGCTTATTCGGACGTTGATGCACTATGATCAGCGCAAACAAGTGGCCCTTACGACACCAAGCAGTGCTTGTTACGCGCGGAGCCTAATAGGCGCAAAAACGAGATCGCGAGAAGTTAAAAGCACAATGTAGAAGCGGACAGACTAAGATTACAAATACGTACGAGACTAATACTAATACTAATTTTGTGCTAGGTAAGATAAAATTAATGATTTTAGGCTTGGCAAAGAGTCGGTAGTAGAAATAATGTGGTATAGTCTATTATAGTCGTTACACAGTACTCTAAACGGTTCATGCATATCAAAGTTAGATCTACAAATATTTAATGTAAGAGGAACATAGTTCCTGGTTTAAAACTGACAGTTTTCTTAAATAGAATAAGGTGCAAACTATAAATTCGTAAATAAAGCTATTAAGCAAATGGTAGTTTAATCCTTCAATTTTTGTTATCTCAGCATATTTAAAATAAACAACAAATCTGTTTATAATAGAAAACAAGCTTGATGATATGAAAAACAAGCTAATATTAAAAAATGGTTGATTAAATAAAATACTATTTTTAAAGATAGATTAATTTTAGCTTCTTTTGCCTGTTAATTTATAATCCTTATGATTTTGTTGTCTGTATTTTAAATGATTTTTATTTTAAGGTAAATTCAAGTTAATAATTTATTAATTAATTCAACTCTTTAATAGCAACCCGAATTTTGATTTGTAATTAAAATAAAACTAATAAATATTAATTGATCTCCGTCCCGATTAATTCTCTCTGTGTATATATTGGTGTTTTTTCAGGCTGCAGAGATGAATAAAGTCGGTGACTCTAGGGTTTTCGCAGCGTGCCCACAGCTGCTAGAATTCATTTCGAACTTTGCAATATATCTACATGTATATGTATAATAAATTTCCATTTGCTTTTGTTAGCGTTAACGTTTAACCCCACGCAACCCGGCAGGCGCCCGACATAAGTATAAGTTCAAACTGGTACGCGCCGCCTCAAACATGTGTTTATGGATGCTGTGGCTGGCCCTTTGTGGGTGTGTGGGTGCATATCGGAGTATCTGTGTTTACATATTATGTACATATTTTTTTGGCCTCTTGTTTTGCACGCCGTCGATAAGCGCGCCTTCCATTCCGCCCCTTTGCACCACATATTTCTTCCACTCGCTTATCAAAAGTTGCCCAAGCCCAAGCTGTTTACTTGAGCAACAATCTGCTGCCAGAGCTCCAGAGCACCAGACTCGGTCCCAGTTCGATACCCAGTCCAAGACCCAAGACTCAGTCTGGATTCCACTCTCCACTTCGGAGTGAGTTTTCGGCGCTTAAAGCTGTTAAGACTTTAACGCGACTTTAATATATACACCACATTGCCGTGCATCGTCATCTTTTTACCCGGAAAAGTCTGCGGCGTAACAACTGCTCCCGAAATTGTAAATTCAGAATGCGGCGCACAGCTCGATTGATTCCGTTCGGTTTCGTCATCCTGCTCCTCGTGCTCCTCCAGCTTCCATTTTCATCGACATTCGGCCACACACGTAAGCCCTGCCTTCGATGGCAAGCCATTGATTATGGATATATATCCATCCATACATTGAAAAACGGAATGTCTCTGTGAGATTGTATACTCCTTTGTTGCAAAGCTCACTTCCTCAATATGTTGTGCCAATTTGATTGGCTTGGCAGAAAAACAATTGATGCAAAAAATCAATTTGGCAAAAATACGTCCACTTTTATACATAAAATTAATATAGTTCTGGAGAAAAGTTTCACCTGATCTGATTTTAATTATAAATATATCTTATAGTTTGGATGAAAAGCTAGATTACTATTTGCTCAAAAAACAGAGATCAAAAATATTCGTTTTTAAAATTTTAAAGGACAATTGGGATTCGTATTTATTTCGTTTGCCATTTGGTTTTATTGCTTATATTTTGTGCGCAAAAGTAAATAGAGTTCTAATTTTGTTCCTTTTTGGCAAAGTTTTATAAGTTGTTTAACATTTTAAAAATAAAATTCTTAAATTACGATGAAAAGAAATATTAATGTTAACCAGAAGTACTCCTAGGAATTAAATCAAAAGTAGTTTTAGTATGATAAAGTATGAGTTTCAAGAGCTCCATAAAAAATGATTGCCATTTAGTCTCTATATAACCTCCGCTTTCGAACTAAAAACCCAATTGTTACTTTCTGAAATTTGTTTCTTTCTGTAAAGTGGGACGCAGCTGCCAGACGCCCGAGAAGACCGAAGGACGGTGTGTGCACTTCAGCTCCTGCCGCCTCGTCCTGCGGCACTATGCGATGTACAAGGAGCACATGCCGCCGGTGATAATGCGATTCCTGCAGCGGGCCCGTTGCAAGCCGAAGAACGAGGGCGTAAGTTGCGACCATGTCGAGCCCAATAAAACTGTCTGGCAAGAACAATAACCCTTGAATGGCTCTGATTCTAATGAAATTTCGCTTTTATTTCCCCCGTACATGTCTCCCCTGGCAACATGAAAAACATCAACAAAGTATCATTTGTGCTGCGAACTCAAAGATGTGATTCCTGCGAACGCCAACTCCAAGCTAAAGTAAATCAACTTCAAAGTGCGTCATGTGTTGTGTGCGTGTGGGCTTTGATCTGCCAAATCAGTTTGGTAGCTTTTTGTTTTGGGCCCCGTAACCAAAATGTTATGGCCGGGCCGCATCGCCTGTAATTATAATGTGTACACGAATCATGTATTAAGTGCGTATTCCCGTCTCGCCGGGCAACAGATGCTGAGACATAATAAAAAATAAAAAGTTTAGCCTCAATCTTGACAGCTTGCCTCGGCGAGGGTTCTGCCTTGAGTTTGCGAGTGTTTTATTTAAGGCTCAGCGCTGACACAAGCTAAGGCTCCAAGTTTGTTGCAAATTCTACAAAAATTCCTTTCAGACAGCTGAGGAAAATCAAAAGGGAATACAAACTCCATGAGCAGGGGTTTTTATTTACCAAGGAGCCCTATTAAAAGCATAAATATGTTTGAACTTGCAACACCTACTACTATATGTAGTCGGTCAAAGAAATGAATACTTGAAATTATTTTACATCCAATTTGAATGCTGTCAAAGAGTTTCTCTGGACACCTGAAACCCTTCATTTGCCCTGCATACACATTTCACTTTATTCATTTTAATATTTACCAGAGAGTTGAATTTTATGTTTTCGTAGATAAACTTTTGCTTGTTCAATGTTTAAATTCTCTTACTTTTGCCAACAAGGGTTTCCATTACACAATAGCCGCCCAGCGTTGTTGAGTTCATTCCCTGTTATTTAATTTTGATTTATGCTCGTATCTGGTGTTGAAACAGCCCTCGCCTCCTGTTTTGTGTGTGCTGACTTTAATGTGCCAGATTTTAAGTGACATTCGGGAGACGCTAAAAGGCCGTCTAAAAATCACGCAACATTAAGATGATTTATGCGGAATAATTTCAGTGTAAATGAGGCAGACTCCGGGGCTGACCAGGCATTGGGGCAGGCAGACCAGTTAGTGGTTGCTCTCGGATCTGCAAAGGAGTTGCAAGTGGGTTCGGTTGGTTTTTCGGACCGGAGGTCTAGAGCTCTCTGGCTGGCTGGGGCGTTGAAAAGTAGACACCTTGTGCGCGCACGCTGCTCGAATTTCAAGCCGAGGCTGGAGGCAGCAGCTCAGCTCTTGATGTTGCTGCCGTTGCTGTTGCTGTTGCTGTTGCTGTTGCTCTTGCTGTTGCTATTGCTGTTGCTGCAACATGAACGAATCGCCGCTGAAATTGCAGACAGCGGGCAGCAGATGATAAATGGCCTGAAAACACATTTGAGCTGCAGCTCGCCTCTGTTGCCGCTGATGCTGATCTATTAGACAAACGCACGCCCAAGGCGTCTACATCGCCATCGCCATCGCCCCCACTCCTGCATACACATCCTCATGGCCCTCTGCATGTTGGCTATTTATGGAAAGTTTACCCCGAGATAAAGCCAGAAAAACGGCAATTTTCATGATTATTTTTGTCGCTTTTAAACTAAAAATGTTTCTAGCTGTCAGAAATTAAATGGGTAGCAGCAGCAGCTTCAGCAAACATGTTTAGGCCAAAGCAGCTGCACAACTCCAACGGCTTTAGTCTTTAGTGCTCAGTGTTTAGTCTTCAGACTTGGCTCACTATGTTTGCATTGTTGCTGCTGGTGCTGGTGCTGCCGCCGTCGTCGATGTTGTTGCTGCGGTGCAACAAATGTTGTTAACAAGCATATTTTGACAGCTCAACAAGATGTTGCCAGATGCGCGAACAGCAACAAGAGGAGCAGCAGCAACAACAGCAGCAGCAACAACAGCCACGCAACTATAGATGCAACGAGGCCATCTGCATATGCCATAAAAGGCGAAACAAAAGTAAGACAAACCATGGACTATATGGGCTTCTATATGGGGGTGACTATGGGAAAGTTGTGGCTTTCTACTCTACATATAGTATGCCTTCGCCAGAGCAATTGAAGTTAGTGAGGCGCAGAGTCCATTGCATGGATACATATGTGCTGCCGATGTTTGCTGCAGACCATTCTACTTCAGAGCATAAAATGTGGAACACATTGTTTCCACTGCCTGGCAGTCTTGTTTTTAAAAACTATTTTGTCTGCATTTTATTAAACATTGCAGTGGATTTAATGAAACAAAGGGGTTAAGAGAGGGAGACAGAGCGTGAAACACAGGCACCGCCTAGCCACATCTATTTGCTAATTGCATTTCGTTGTTGTCGCTCCGATGTTTGTTGTTCTGCGGCCATATACCTTTCACGCACACTGTTCCGGTTTCTACCCGCTTTCCACCTGTCACCTTGGTTAAATATCGCTTTGTTCCAACTGTCGCAACTGACAAAACCGAATGTCTTGTCCTTGTCCTCACCGCATCGCAATGCCTAGCATCGCATCACATCGCACATCGCACATCAGTTCGCATCGGGAACACTGCCGGAGTTGCAGTCACTTCAGTTCGCGGCATGTCTATCACCTGGCCAAGGAAAATGCAATTAACGAGCGCCATCAGAACGGCAAAAGCCTGCGAAATGAAAGGCACCCAAACAAATGGCTGGCAGAGTGGCAAATAGCTTTACATATTGCTTTACCAAATGAGAGCGGTGAATGTGGGATAATGGCAAAGAAAATTTACGATCTAAAAGATTTCTTTAAGGTTAATAGAGTTTTTTGGTTAAGATTTAGTATTTCAATTTAGGGCAACTTCATAGATTAGGAGCAATTGTACAAATTTATGAATAGAAAAGAATTTAAGTAAGCTAATTCGTTAAACTTTCTGTGTAATTTTGGTGGGATGATTTGAATGTTGCTTAACTTGAGAAATTACAACAAATCGTTATTTTAATCAAGTATTTATAACAAATACTAATTTATATTAAAAGATCTACTTAATTTATATTGCTCAAGAATACTCTTAAAATATAAACATGTAAAAACAGGTAATTAAATCTAAAAAGACACTATAAATTATCTAAAATATTTTGAATGCTAACCAGCCCTTCTCCCTAGGTACAATTATCTGAAATATATGAAACCCCCTTTCACATCAAGTTATTCCGAGTCTTCTCCTCTCATCAAGTTATTCTGGGTAATGAAAAATCCTTTGGGAAACCCACTCACATTTAGAATGATCAATTTTGTTCTCCCATAGTCGCAATCAATTATTTCCCAATATCTCTTCACTTTGTACATTTAGATACTTGTATTGGCTTGTGAGGCATTCTATTTCCATTACCGGCCACTCTTTTGGCAAAGGCTTTGTTGCAAATTTCTTCAATACTAAATGCGTAGAATGCCATCGAATTGACTCCGGCTTTTGGTTGCAAATTGCTGAAAAATGCAGCTTAATGAACCTTGGGTTGACATGCAGAAAATGTAGGAGAGCAGCAGGACAAAAAAGCCCGATGCCCAACATTTTCTGCCAATCACTGTAGGGCCACAAAAAGCGATGGAGAAGAAAGCAAAGCCAAAGTGCAAGCAACCGCAAATTCAATAAATTTGAAAAGCAATTAATAACTGATTGACAAGTATTTATCTAGGAGGAAATGGCGAGCGGGAGCCGGACAAAAAAGCGGAAGCGGAAGTTGCAACAGCAAGGATGCAAAGAGCGGCAGCCATGTTGGTCGGCGGAAACCGAAACCGAAACCGGGCAAATAAGCGTAATACGCTGGCCAAACACCGATCCAACAGCAACAGAAAAAGCAAAAGCAACAGAAACAGCAACAGAAACTGAAACTGAAACAGTAGCCGAAGCTGAAAATCGGGGCAGATGGAGCTGAATTGTGGAAGCTGGCGGGAAATGAACCCGTGGGAGCTGGCGGAAATTCAAAACCCAAAGTCAAATGGAACACAGCAATATAACGCAACGAAATTGACGGAGACGAGATAAAAGAGCAATCAACAATACGGCACAATACGGCAACACCAAACAGAAAGTGGAGAGCCCAACGGGCCAGAAGATGTAGCATAAAATGTAGCGAAAACTTTGGAAAAATCATTAATAATGCTGGGGCAGCGCAATGGCATTGGTTTTCCGAAAGGACAAGCGCAAGGACATGCAGCTCTCAGCCCACCAGCTCGCCAGCTCGCCAGCTCACAGTCCTCCGTCAATCAAAGCGCAAACAGAAACAAAATGAATGGCAAACAGTGGCGACTCGGACGCTGAACGTTGGCCAAGTGGCGATAGTGCACTCGGAGAAAATGACAATAGTTCCAATTTCACCAAAAAGGGGGATGAGTATAATCCTTTTTGCCATCTAAGTTTTAAATTCAAAGCAATCTTTTAATTAAAAAAGCTAAAATAGAGATTTTAAGGGAATAATTAAACTAGGAAAAGCAAGTTAATATTTTTCAAAATGTAGTTGTATTCTTAAACTATTGTCAGAGAAAGTGCCTTGAAGTTATTAAATCATATATATTATTTCACAAATTACTAAAAAGCAATTGTTTTATGGCAGTGTTTTGTTTTTATTTCGCCACATGCATGCAGAATTGCGGATAATCCAAAAATAAAACAGTTTGCAACAGCTAAAAGCATGGATTATACCATATAATCAAAATTGCAAGTAACATTTGTAAGAATGGCATTTCCTTGGGTTTTTTTTTTCACTCGATATGCCGCTTTTTTTCAAAGTGCCGACGTGGAGACAGGGCTAAATCCAACGGATGTCCATTGAAAAGGGGTCAGTAGTCAGGCTGGCTGGGCTAAGCGACTGTTTAGCTGCTTGTTTTGTAGCGGTCGGACGGTGATGGTGGAACAGCAGGCCGGCTAGAACAGGACATTTTGTCCCCAATGGTGATGAACAGGACGATGATGATGATGATGATGATGGTGATGGTGGAGGAGAAGGCATTGGCCGATGGCCGGGCGAATGAGCAACGTGCCTTTCGCCAACTAGGACGACAATGAACGCGATGATGATCATAACAATGCCGATGATGATGATGGGGAGACATTGAGCGAGCGATGTGGAACGGATGTGCAGTTGTTGTGGTCGCCAGCAAAGCAAAGAAAAGCACAATTATTCATTTGCACAATGTCACAAAAGTGTCAGGCGGCAAAAGGAGCAAAGGATTCTTTGGCCATTGCCTTCGGGTCTTCTTCGCCCCAGCTTTTCGAGACAAAAGCGTTGGGGAAAAGCGATAATGACGAGCTGGTTGCATGGCCACTATGCCATTATTTAAAGGATAAGGCGCCGTATCGGAAGCAAGATGGATAACCCTGTGACTTGGTGAGTTTGCGGTGCATTCAAGTA